TGGTGACCTGTACAATGTTTTTAATGCTGTAAATTCGGATCTTTGCATCAATATTAATGATGCAAATTATTATCTTAATATAAACATTAAGATTCTTTTAATGACAAAATAGTTCAAAAGACAGGTTTTTCCATAAATGAAAACTTATTAAAAAATGCCTTTACCACTATTTCATTAACACCTAGTCTTATAATACAAAGGCACAGATATTCAAATTATTCAACCACCAAATCATATATCTTCAAAGTTAATCTCTGTTTTTTAAATTGGCCTTTGTTAATATACATTATCGGTGCTCAATTAGTATACACCTTCTTGGGGATGGTATAGCCTAGTGGTTGGTGCTTTGAAAGGTTCCAAGTTTGAGGCTTCCTCATCTTTGTTTGCTTGAGCAAGACACTTAGCCTCAATTGTTTCTAACATTTCTCAGGTTCGTTCGCAATGTTTCAATTAGATGATATAACACATAAATCAATGTTATTACTAAAATTGGATTTTATTTTAATTAACATTACCCAGTTTTTACAAAAGAAAGTGATAAAGTGTAAATCTGTACAGTTAAGTTGGAGTTTATTTTCATTCTAAAAGTCAGTATCTTCAAAAAATATAGTGAACCTAATTATTTGTTGTATGAAGATCATCAATACTAAAACATGGTGGGTATCCCAAGGTAAAACTAAAAATTAGTTCATGAGAACTTCCATCTGGACCAAACGTGCATTTGTATCTCCTGGCATTCGATATGGAATCATCCCAGCAAAGGTTATCAATGCTCGGGCTTGTTTTCGTAGGTATGTGATATACTACATAAAGAAAAGAAGGATGTTAAGATAAATAAAGTACTACTTCTGAATATATGACAACAAAGCATCACTTGTTATGGGAAACTTTACATACAATCATTTAGTATTTGTAAAAGATGAACAAACACAAACATATGATTTTTCTTTTTGAGGACTTGGGGTTCACAGAAATATTTCTTTCAGTTATTGATATATTAACATAACCAATGAAGAGAAAATAAGAGGATGTGCAGTAAAGTGAAAAAACAAACGAAATCCATCATCACAATACAATTCAAGGTATAGTGTTGATGTCAGTTCAACAACTGCACATGAAATAATGAAACCTGGAGTGGCAATTATTAAAAAATTTACATATTTCCATTAAATATAAACAATCAAATGTGTAACAAATCAAATAAACTTTAGCTTTGTATAAATGAGAAGACTGGATTATGTAAATTATATGTGCATGACAAAAATATTTCCGTTTCAGTCAAACAATATATGCAGTTAGTACATTATACTTGTGTAAGGAAGTACATTATGCTAATACAATAGTAAACTTACAAACAATGATTTATAAACTTAATGAAAATTATTTTATATAAAGAACATACTAGATATTCCAACAGAATATTGGTCTGTCTTCTTGAGGTATGATATACAGCTTAGAATACAGGGTTTATATACAAAGACAAAAGGTGCAAGGGTTAAAGAAATACAGGAATGTTGTCACGTTACAGCAGTGAAACGTGTAACAGGTTAAAATGTCGGGGCTGGTCAAGCATGTGAACGAAAGCTGGGTGAATAAACCCAGCCAGGTTTTGCTAATGTTACTAAGGCCACTGTAATGGTTTGATGAAAAATCACCTTCTTTGATAATTTCTATTGTTTCTAAAGAATTTCCTTTTGTTTTTGAGATGATGTTCAAGAAAATTTCAGCCACATGTATCTTATGACCTGATTCAAACTGATGACGTGTTAATTTGGATTTCTCAAATTTACCGTACGCATAGGAACTTGGTGTTCATTGCATCTGATTTCCAAGAAATGTGAGGTTTATTCTATATATACATACCTCTTACCACATTAAGAAGTATATATAGTATCCAATTTGAATATGGTAAGAAATATATAGAACAAATCTCTTGTTCTTATAAATCACTGTTTGTGAATTTACTGCAGTTAGCATATTATGTTCTATGTAATTAACGACAAGTCTTACAATAGGAAGTTTACTAATAATTCTTAGTCTTTTTTTTTTTCATAAAGGATATTACTTTTACTTATTACTGGGCAATTTAGTAGATATAAAATTAATTTATTGAAGGATAAAAGCAAAGTAAGTAAAGTTCTTGAAATTCTACATTATAAATTAATAATAGTGACTTTTACTTTCATTTGAAATTTTATATTTTAGGGGTCATAAAAACACAAACATTCTCAAACCACCATAAGTCTAGTGTGTAATGTACATAAAATCCTAACTAGCTTTCCCAGCTGCATGTCACAGAGTGCCACGAATCAAATCATTTTAGTAAGTTGTGAACTTGAAGTGTTGTAACACAATAATATCAACTAACATAACAGCCTGTTATTTTAATATCACACCGCATGAAATGCTTAAACGAAAACAAGAAATTGTAATACTATAGTTAAGACCATATAAAACTACAGTTATAAAATAATATGTAAATCACTCTCTTCACTTCTTTGTTATGCAAATCAGGCATCTGGTTATCAATCATGTGATCTGAAATTGGTCTCACATGATTATCTGACTTGTTAGTTTGAATTGTATCACCGAGTTTGGCTAGGCCTCAAAGAAGATGCATGTTTCAATCTAGTAGAAAGCCATCAGACAGATAAAAGTCAAGGAATCATGGCAAACTGCTGCAACTACAAATGTCTTTTAACAAACTTAATATTATTTTCTGCTACCTACATAGATAAGAACTAAAAATGTTGAACCACTTGCAAACCAATTGCTCAAACCCCCCAAAAGACCATTATCTGTCAAGTTGTACAACAAATCATAAGCCAAAGATCATCAGCGCCCCCTGGATGTTATTATGGTTCAACAGAATAAGGAAAAATTTTCAAACCTGTTTGTTATTATAAAGTATGGAGTCAAGTTCACTGGAACCTACACTGAAAGAAAAACCTGCTAATAATAACCTTACAAAGGACCACACTGAATCCTAACTTGTTTAAGCATCATAGCTTAAATACTGCTATTGTAATGATGATTTTGTATCTGTTGAGACAATTTTAATTTACTACATATATCTATTACCTTCCAGTCTAATGCAAGAAGCTAACAACAATAAAAGTGCTATCTGAAAAACAATCACGTTCATAATCTATAAAACTTACTTTTCCTGGTTCTTCTGGACTGCTTTTTTGTTGAGATAAAAATGAAGTTTGGGGGCTTCCTAAACCAGCACTTCTGTGAATATTATATGAATGTGATAAACATTGTTATTCAGTGTGAGATAGGAGTTACTATACAACTACCTCTTTTGTATAAATAAAAATATAAGAGTATGATTTGAATTTATTGTTAATTAAAAATATTAAACATATTATAAATGAGATACTCTTTGTACAGTTACAATAAAGATTTGAATCCTTAGACAGAGCCCCCTTTCTAGGAAATTCTGGCTATAAAGCTAAACAACTGATTAATATAAGTAACCATAATGCAACTGTTCAAACCTTATATAACTTAAAGTTTATAGATTCCACAGTATAAGTTTAAAAGAATACTTAATAGACATACTGGTAAGAAGCTTCTAAAATATAAAACAAAGTTAGAGTAAATTGTTTGCTACAAGTTTAGGCCACAACTTGTTCTTATGAGTTTCAACTTATTTTCATTCACAAGCACTGACAAAATTCTCAGCTACATACATCTGTCCTAATTTCACTGTTAATTACATGATATAAAGTTTACTTACTTTCTGGATTTGTATTCAGAGTATAGGATGTTCATTGTTGCTAGTAACACATCTGGTAAGTTACGACGAACCTATAAAAAACGTGTTTATTTAACTTGTTGTTTCTAAAGAGATAGTTTAAAATAAAAACTACTAGAATCAAAAATGGAAAAGAAAAACCAAACATTAATTTTAGAAGACAACCCATTATCTTGATGATATAAAAATCATAATTCCCACTGAACTTCTCATTATTGCAAGGAACCTGTTAGGAAATGAAAGCTTTAAAAGAAGTACAGATAATTCTGTAAGCAGCCTTACTATTTTGTTATTCTTTGTGTCACATCAAGTTTAAATCTGAAACTACCTCATAAAGTTGAGCTAGCTTCAAAGATAAGTATGAAACTCATAAAAAAAACCTGAATACACAAGTTTTTTTTCCCCCATAAATAAAGGGTTAATTATACTTTTGAAGAGTGATGTTCACTTGCTACCCTCACAACTACTTCCTCCATCATGATCATGTATTATTATTGCTCTACATTGAAATTTCCATAAGGATATTGATATCGATCTTAGGTAATACATTTTGACAAACCTTCCACAAAACCTCTATGGTACACAAACACTAGTTTCCAAAGCTATATTTATGCAAATTAAAGGCACAAAAGTCCACTACCTACATTGGAAACTTGAAAGGAATGTGGTCAAATTAAGATTGCAAAATGTTGTCCCACTCTATTAACAGGCAGGAGCAATAGCTATACTATGTCTATATTCCCTAAAATACTCTAAAAACAGCACCAATAATAACAGTACATGCTACACTGCAGTATATCTTAAATTTATATCTCTCCTTAACCCTAAAAACAGCAACAAGAATAACAGTACATGCTACACTGCAGTATATCTTTTAAGGAGAGATATAAATTTAAGATATACTGCAATGTAGCATGTACTGTTATTCTTGGTGCTGTTTTTAGAGTTAAGGAGAGATATAAATTTCCCTAAAAACAGCACCAAGAATAACAGTACATGCTACATTGCAGTATATCTTAAATTTATATCTCTCCTTAACTCTAAAAACAGCACCAAGAATAACAGTACATGCTACACTGCAGTATATCTTAAATTTATATCTCTCCTTAACTCATCAAATCATTTTCATCATTTGAGCTAAATAGAAATAAACATTTTTAAAAGTTTCACATAATTTAAGAAATAACTTAGGGTACAGTAGCCGAGACAGATTTAGGCACTTCCATTTCAATTACAAGACATTATTTCCAAAGCTTCCTTACAAATGTCAAAAAGTAGTTTAACAATGTTAAAATAACGAGTTAATCTGTAATACTGTTTTATGTTCAATTTTTTGTTGTGGATTTATTTCATCAATACACCAGAATATATTCTTTGACAACACAATTTCACAACTTCCAGTGAGGTACATTGTCACTTCTATACCTATGATGAGGTCTTCATTTTGATAAACGTTAAGACAAAAGCAAATTAATGCATATAACATTAAGTAACCTTGATGAGAAAACTGTGAATATCTGTTAAATAACATTTTAAGAATTCAATTTATTTGAGCTCAAAAACTAGTAATTTGAAAAACACAACATTCACAAGAAATAAAACATTTTTTATTTGTAATTTATATGTAGTTAACAAAAGAATCTATTTGTATACCTTTCTAAAGAACCATTTAACCTTAACCTTTTCCTGACCACATAGGTGTCACTAATATCTCATGAGTTTTTCCATGTTACAGATGAAGTACTTAAATAACTTGCATGAAATTTAGGATAATCCTTTTAAATAGTATCTAGTTTCTGCTTTAAAACATCCATATAATTTTTACATTTTCTTAGGATGTAATATTTCCAAGTAAATGTACAACATGCTGTTATGAAAAAAACATTAAGACTTCATTTTGTATATCCAATCAATTTGATCCTGTTTCATATGCATTAACAAACTTTTCTTGGTACTTTATATTGCCAATCGAAACAGTCACCACTTCTGACCATAAATCATATAAAAGCAGAAAAAATAAGCTGACAAAGTAACTTGAAATTAGTGTCTGTAACTTTAGTCGGGCATTGCATTGACTTTTGGCATCAATATTCATGATCAAGATCAATATACATATCATATATCTTGTTTTCAGTAAATACGAAGTTATTGTATTTGTCTGTGTTGTATAAATATGATAAACTTAAAAAAAAAATCTTTTAATAAAGAAAAAAAAAAGAACTTGTGACATCCAACTAGTTCGTCATCACTTATACTCCCTAAAACTAACTAAACTTTCCTGAAGTCTTATCAATATTCTGTAGATTTCAAACAGATATAATTTAACACAAAAACATAACCAGGAAATAAATAAAGCCAATATAAACTGCAAAAAGTTTTTATATCTATAGTTGGTTCCCAAGTATTGTAAACTTCACACTAAAATTCTCTGTTCACCCATACAGGAGCTTCAAGTAGTTAATATGTCAATAACCCCAAATTACTGTTACAATCTTTTAATATTTACTTTATACTCACACAGGTAAATTAAAATTTTTTCCATTCAACCAATTTTAACAATTGACTCTGCCTATTTCAAAGTTGAATTTCCTTCGTAATTGTTCAGATTGCATGCTGCGACACAATAAAAGGCCATGTCATCCCATTTGTAGACTTGCATTCCAAATTTTATTGAACTACTACTTTATGAATGCATGTCAATAAGTTTGATATCAAATTGTAAATTATAATTTAAATTTTAGTATTATACATTAGATAATTTCTTAATTTAAAAGTAAATATTAAAAAAAAAATTCTAAATATCGATTTTTGTGTGTCACGTGGTATGTTGAATGCAGTATTGGTTCAGATTAGATGTTTGTGATGTCCAAATACAAAATCTATAGTTTCTTACGAATTAGAAACTGAAATTAATGATACTGACAAGCTAGAATATAAAATAAGAACCTCCTATTTTTTCTACTTGCTGAGATATCACTACATTTATTGAATAAAACAAAGTGCCTTCCCCCACCTCTTTCCATTTTTGGAAATGCTAACGTACACCTACTTCTAGCTATGACATGTGAGTCACGCTTAAAAAGCTCGGAATGTTCCCCACATGGTTTTCTGAGCTTCTGTGAAGTACTTATACAGAAAACCTTTTCTGTCCATGGTAGATTCCAAGTGGTAAGGTAAGACACTATAGAGCTCGAAAAATCATATTTTTTAGACCCAAATACAGCTTAGTTACTAAGCCTGATAAATTATAGTGGAATTTTGTAGTATTGATATAGTAATTTAGGATTTTTTGTTATTTCAAAATGCATATATAAAACATAAAAAATTATTTTGTTTTAAATTCTACATGTGCAAAATTTGATAAGGCTTAGCAAATTACAGCAATTGGCAAACAAGTACAAAATTTGTAACTAGAAGAGATAATTGTTTTCTATACTTCTTTATTTACTGTTCTATGTGTTAAGAAAAATAATTCAAATTCAAGAACTTATTTGTAAATAGTAATAATGTATTATAACCAAAATACTGGTCCACTAAAACTCAGTTGAGACAGGTCACTTTGAAAAGGCCAGTTTTATATTATTTAACACGGTAACACGAGTGCATGTGCAGAGCATCATTCAACTTCTGTAATGTTAGTCAGACACTGCTGAAAGATCAATAAAATAAATGTAATAAATTTTTATATATGTAAAATGTTATTAGATTTAAGCTATCTAGGCTAAACATTTGTGGTTTCATGTTATAATTTGTAGTAATTCTAGTATGAAAAAAGCATAATTTATATCTATTTTTTATGGTGGTTATGAGGTCTATCAAATAGACCAAACAAATACAGAGATACAACAGCGAAAATAACAGATAAAATATAATTTTTTTCTAAAAAAAATGTTTGATAATTATCAGGAGGTTATAAAGATTTCACATGTGAAATTTAAAAATTTTCTGATGCATAAAAGTATTTTTTAATCTTCAAATCAATATTACTTTACAAGTTGGATAGTCAACATTCAAAAAGAAAAATGCATGAGCAAATCATTACTTAGAAAATCTTAAAACTTAATAAAAAAATCTGATATTTTGTGTATGAAAGCAATTTAATGTTTACTGATAATCTGCAAAATTTCATGAAGATACACTTACTGTATTAAAAGTTATAGCATGAAAACTATAACAAGCACAAAATGGTTTTGAGGTCAGTCCCTGGGACCAAGCCCGTAGTGAGAGTTAATAAAATCACTGGCAAAGAATGGAAGTGACTTGAAAAACAAGACACATATCATTATAATGATATTTTCGAATATGTGTCATATCAAATACAAACATATACTTTGTAATGAGAGTAGAAAAAAAAAAGTTTAGAAAAATTAATAAATGCAATGTTTACAGTTGGAGCATGTTTTTGTAAAATACACTAAATTAATATTATTTATTTCAAAATATCGATTCTGAAATATCTCCGAGTGAAAGATTGTTGAAATAGATTTAGAAATATATCTTTTGATTAAAGTTTGAAATTTGATACAACAGGTGTACACTTAACACCCAAAAGGTGCCCACCAGTCTTAACCATGTTATCTGTTAACTAGCAGAGACCTGTAAAACTTTTTTCTGTCAAATTAGTATCTTTATTGCAAAAATATTTCTTTAAATACAATATTTATTCAATAATACAAATGAAATGTAATCTTGGCATTGAAATGTGCAAGTCCAACTGTATTTAGGTCATACTTTATAAAACCTTAACTAATGTTAAGCCTAAGTTCGATAAAAAGATATATTAACACTGTACCATGTACATTTTTTACATTAGCTTAGTTAGGACTAAACTATACTGTACTTAATACTATCTATTCTAAGACCTTTTTGAAAACTTCAGTCTTTTAATGTTATTTTACTAAATGATTAATAAAATATTTACATCCACCTTTTTTTTGTTATTCCTTCATTCATAGAGCAGTTGTAGTGACTTGTTCATTGAGTTTTTTAGCTCTCTGATGCAGTCAGGCATTTGCACTGTTTCTCTGGGTAAAATTCTTACTATGACAAGATTTTAATGTCTGCAATTATAATTCTTTAGTATTATTCTAGAAATCCTGTATTTAAAGAAGTACTGTTACAACAAAGACACTAATCTGAGCACAAATGTCTTGTTTGTCTCTGCTAGTCTATTATAATAATACTCAGTTTTTGTCTGTCACGACAATGTGCACGCACCTTACTATCTAAATATGCATGCTTGCACCCATCACTTCCCCGTAACAGACACACGGACAAGCGTCTTACCTCCTCGGGATAATGTAGAAAGGCTCTAGCCTTCTGTTCCACATCCTCGGTTTGAAAGGGCAAGAGCTTCAATTTTTGTATTGTCTACAAATAAAATAGAAACTAAAATGACATTCAATTTTTTAACACCATCTTTACATCTTTATTTAAGTTAAATTATAAAATTGTTACAAAACCAAACATAGTCAAAATACTTTTGATCACATGATGTTTTGTTTTCTTCTTATTAATGAATAGCTTCCATACACTAAATAATAACTTAATTCTCAATTACTAAAGGTACCATTTGCTGTAATTAGAATGATAACATCAATATTTAATAACTTATTGTTTGTGCTATTCCATTATGAAATAAATGTTTGATTTATGTTGTATAAATAGTCATCTCAGGTTTAGTTATACCAACCTGAACAGTATATTTCTCTCTACTTACAAAAAAACAGAAACATGGTACATTTTAGCTCCAAATTTGGATTATTTTACTTGAACTACAGCTGTGCAACAAACTAGCTATGGTTAAAATGACAACAAAAGGTAGACTTGAACTACAACATTTTACAACACAAAGTTATTTACCTATACATTTTTGTTTAATATCATTATTTTCAAATACAATAACATTAAAACACGAAAAAAAACTATTTACATATGTATATATTTTGTAAAGTTCATCATTTTTTAAAATTTTGTTCAGTTACAAGTGCAAATGTGACCCATGTTATTGTAAAATACTATGGCACGGCAGCAGGCAACCTTAAGGTACTCATTTAGAATACATGAATGTTAGCATCATTACATCTACGACTGGCATCACTACAATAATTATTTTAGTTAGCTGCTGCTGAAAGGGGAAACTGAAATTTTATTGGGACAAATGATTTTATAAGAATCATCTTATCATCATTTTCTCATCAATAAATCTTTAAAAAAAATCAACTTGTAATAGAATATGAATATTTTATCACGTAACAAACTCATTCATTTACATATGGTTTTTAATATAAAAAAAAGTAAAATTTTTATATTCAATTTAAAAAATGCAGCAAAAAGTAAGAGTAAATGGATTCCACAAGGACATACTGATAATCAAAATCTCATTACTTACATCTAATGCTTCAGAATACCGTTTAGCATGATACTGGTTGAAAAATGTCATTAAATCAAGAAGAAGGTAACAAGTTCCTGTAGTCTCTCTACTACCAGAATGACCATGAGTTTTATACCTATATATACAAAACAAAAATATCAACAGTCTTACAAAAATAACTGTAATGTCTTAAAATTTCTGATAGACATTCTTTATTAATGAATTATGTGACAAGTTTGAATGCATTAAATTACCTACATGTAAATTCACTACTCTACATTTACATCTTTACTGAACATCATTAGAACTTTAGTCCCTTTTGCAGAAGTAATAAAAAAAATGTGCAAAAAGTAAGTATTACGATTTAGGGATGGCAATGCCAAAAAGAACAGAAACAAAGTACGGATGAATGCATAAGAACACACAAAAATCTCTACATAAGTAGCCAATAAGTACTGAATCAATCTTACAAGTTTATGGTTATTAGCCTATCCAGGTTAAATACATTTATTCAAACCTGAATTCATGCAACTGACAGGAATTCAACATTTAGTTGTAGATAAGTTATTCTTGGAATGATTTGGCTACTTATGCAGTGATTTTTGCATATTCATTCCTACCTTGTTTCTGTACTTTTTGACATTGCCATCCCTACATCATACTTAATTATCACTTGTTTCCCCTCTGTTTTTTAAACAATTTTATTGAAGTAAGTTGATAAGTGAACATCTGTTACATTTTTATAATTCAATAATAACGTATATTGTTAATATCATATCAGTTTTGTCGGGCTCTCTAATTTTGGATTACATTAGGGGCCATGAAGCTGGAATGGTTCTTCCAGAATGGTACAAGTACTCCAGAGTGCTGGACCGACGATAAAGGAATATTTACAGAACCCATTCCTTCCAACTTCAGCCCAACTCACTGCATGTGCATACAATCAACTCTACCACATGCTAGGGTCATATTCATTAATAAGGAGGACATCATACAGATTCCAAGCCATGAAGTATGATACCACACATACACACACAGAGCTGACAGGTTTGGTCCAACTGAAAATTTGAACAAAAGTAGACCACTATATGATGTATTGTTTTGATAATTAAGAAACTGGTGTTTTTAAACTCAAACATCAATAACAATGTTCACAGATCTGTCAGATGCACAAATACTTGACTTCCTTGATACCTTGAATATTAATTTATGCTATACTTTCTTTATTTACTTATTTTTGCTGAAATTGTTTTGGCAGATATCATATTTGTGCAATGAAAACTCACAAATGGTCATGACATAAGAAATTTTGTGCTGCCATCTTGTGACCAGAAATAAAACTTATTTATGAAACATGCTTATAAACTAAACTCACTGCTAAGTAGTAATTTTCTTTTTTATTATTTCCTCACAAAAAATACGTGTGGTAGAAGAATAGAATAATATTACTGTAATACAAGCTGTGAAACACTCAATAATAGCAATTAGGTGCTCAAATAAGGTTATCACTCAACTTTAGCAGCTATTTGTAAGCATCATAGAGTAATAGATTGAATGAGGTGGCCATTTTTTCTCAGCCCATCCCTACATACCATACACTACCATGCTTAGTCGTAGACTGTTCCCAGGTACTCTTAAATGCTTTTTTGTCATACTAAGGCCAATGCAAAAAGTTCATTTATTTTTTGGCTAGTGTTGGAGAAGAAAAAAAAAGAGGAACACTTTGTCTCTTTAGCTAGTTCCCAGTTCTCCACTTTATAAATGATGTTGGTAGTCTTACATACTGTGAAACACTAGAAAATGGCAATTAGGTGCTCAAATAAGTCTAGAATTCAACTTTAGCAGTTATTTGTAAGCTTCATAGAGTAATAGATTGAATGCAGCAGCCGTTTTCTTCTTGGCCCATCCCTACATACTAAGCACTACCATGCTTAGTGATAGGAGTTTCAGGAAAATTAGATTGTACTGGAATATAAAGTTTATTGTCTGAATTTCTTTAGAATGCAGAACCCTGATATTTTGGGCAGATGCAGTCCATAAAAACTTCAAATCCAGGACATGATAGTCACTGAAACACTAAAATCAAACAGAAAAATTATTAAATATAAACAAAAACACAAAACATTTCCATGTCAGCTTTAAAACTGTTCTACAGGTAGTTCAGAAAGGTTTTAGGGAAAAGTTTTAAATTCTTTAAGATGTCCAGATTTTGTTGTTGCTGGAGTTTGGGAGTTCTCTATATGAGGTAAGCAAAACTAAGTTTTCAAATTATCTGAGGAAGTAAAGACCAATTACAACTTAACCAGTCTTGGATGCATTCTCAGTAATAAAAATAGTTTAAATAGATGTTGATCTCACGTTGACATACATATTGTAAAAGTATAATGAATCAGAGGTTCTTTTGGGTCATCCTCTTGTTTTGTATGGGATGTGTCTCTTTGAAGGAGAGATAAGTATTTCTATATGAAAATTTTTCACCACTCAAAACTTGGTATATTATTTTTTACCGTATCAGACATCTCATTAAGAAAATACACAAAAACTGCTGAATATGACTAAAACAATCATTAAAACTGAAACCATGATATACTTTAAAATTCATTAAAAAAACATAAAATCAAACCTTTCAGCGATATCAACAGCCATATTCTCTAATCGGTCTCGAGCAGATCCAGGATTTTTAACTTGAGGTACAACTTGGCTTAAAAGTTTGTTCAACAATTCTAAGACTTTCTCATGTTTCTGGGAAAAATCAAGCATTAAGACTGTAACCTTTCTTTAAATATATGCACAGTATATTAAGTTAACAGAAGGGTAAAATTAATTACAGAAAATGAAAAAGTCATAAACTTATATTTTGATGTGTATGGTGTAAATGTCGTTTGTAGTTAAAAACTTGTTTAATTTCTGATAAACCCTACAGCACATTATATACATTTAACCTTTTCAAGATAGGGAGTCAATGATATTCTTGATTTTTTTTTCTCATAATGGAAATAATAAAATTTAATGAAATTTAAAAGACATTAAATGGTGTCTAATTTTGGTTTTAAAAAATTTATTTTTCTTTACGTTGGTCATAAAGTTCAGTTTTATATATGTAATCGGTTTCACCTTGATTCATCTTCAATAACATATCATACTCTAACTTGCCAATTGTAGCAGTCATCACTTCCAGTTATAAGTTATCAAAAGAATTTGGCAAAAACTGATAGAGAATTTTTATAACCTATGACCTGCCCTGTCAGAATGGCATCAGGTCAGGCAGGGTAACAATACTTTTCCTAAAAATATTCTTGGTTGAGATAAATTTATATCTAATAAATAGTTTTTTAATAAATAATAAGTTAATTTACTTATCTATGTCATTTGAAGACAATTAATTTAACCATATTATTCAATAAATAAGGATACGAGTCACCAGAATATTCTGTAACCACCTACCTAATTAAGCTTACCTGATGTTTTGTGATAGTAGATAATTTCTGTAGCTTTCAAACAAATATAACAAATATTTTCAGGAATGATAATAATATCTAAAGAGTCTATATATAAATCCCAGATCTGTGGTTTGTTCCTGAGCTTCCCATTAAATTATATTATTGTTCTCTGAAGGAGATAAATAATTCCCACACAAACAATAAATTACTCCTCAAACCACTTTAATCAATCTACGCTGACTTAAATAGTTTACAATTTGCTCTATCCAATGGTATTGAAACTTTACCCACAGCTATTTTCAAAGCAGTGCTTCGCTATTATTTGTTCCACCCAGTGGCAGAACAAGCAGTTCAGGGCCCCAGTGCAAAGAAATGATCGGAGCTCTGATAAGACCAGACCAGGCCCCAAGTATCATGGGCCACAAGGCATTGCTCTGTCTGCCCTATGCTAGTTCTGCCTCTGGTTCCATCCCATACTGTGACGACACAAAAATGGGAATGGAGGCCTGGCATAATAATAAAACATCAGACAAAGAAGGAAAATTACAAGGGAAACAAAACTTGATTAATTTTTATCTCAATGGATGATTGTTTCTGAACAAATAAAACCAGAATTATAAATTTTAACATTTGTTTCAATTTTCTCTGCAAATTACACTAAATAAATGACACAAAATGAAAAAATATCAGTTCTAAAATATTTTTGAAGAAAGAATTGTTAAAATAGAGTTAGAATTACAATTTTTACTTAATTTTTTAATGTGATTTATACATGTGCAATCAAAAACTGAAAGGTGCCCACCAGTCTGGATAGGGTTAATCCTATGGATTATGGGTGGGAGTCAAAGTGTGGATATAATAACCTTTTTACAGAGTTACATTGAAAATATAATTAAACAGCTTTATTATCAACAGATGTCAATAAACTTGGCATGAAAACATAGTTTATAATTCCAATTTTAATATTAATTTCAAATGGAAATAAATTCTCAATTTTCACTTTTCTGTATCACATATTGTTTTTTCACTCAAACTGCCCATTTTAGATTTTAGTCCTACCCCCATATGATCTTTCTCATTTGCCAACAGTTACACACACATCCTATAAATATTGCTAAGCTTTATTGTAAATTCGTAGCCTATAAGCTTCTTGCTTTACTGAGATACAAACAAGAAAGTCTTATGCCATGCCCTTCTTATCTCATCTTGTTTTTCATAAAATGTCAATAATTCTCTCTGATGTATGATATTAGAATATTTATAACCAATAGAAAGAGAATGTTCTGCTTTACAAAAATCCTTAAGAAGCTAATTCATTCAGGAACCAGGTTTGTAAATATCAAATTCTCAGTTTCATTGGTTGCATTTGTAGTGTTTGGTTTGACCAACTAACAGAATTTTTGAAATCTAGTTATAGTTTAGTTAGAAATCCAGTTAACCATACATGCATGGGATTGGTCCACTGGACCAACCCCTTATTGGAGAATTTTACAATAATTCTGAATTTACTACATGTATGTTAACAAGTTTTGATAAGCCTTTAGTCAATGTGAAAAGTCCATTCTACTATTTAGGAGGTTCCTAAGGTTGTGTAAATGAAATATGAAAACTGTAAGATGAAAAGAATATGTTTTAATCTTAACATTAAAATTACCTTGCACTGAGACTAGTTAGAGTCTGAGTCAGGCTGCCTTCGTAAATTTACAGACAAATCTTTAGTAAAATACTTTATTAAAAAATCTGATTTTTGTGATACCAAGTTGTTTTTATATATATTTCATCTCTCATTTTCTATACCCTGACACTAACTGCAGAAAAAGTTGAAAAATATGAAATAAAATCAAAAGTACATTTTTTTTTATAGAATGGTTGCATATTGCAACAGACAATTACAGTTATTTATCCTAACAGCTTTAGGCTTTTAACCTTTTCACAAATGCTTTCATTTAATTTTATCGTTTTATTGCTCCATGAACCATGTCTGACAACTAAATTAGTATAGCAAAGCAATAAATCACCAGGTGAGAGCATAGCTTAAACTAAGGTAAACAAAGTATGAAATTACATAACGCATGAGCAGCTTATGTGCATGCCACTCATTTAAGTTTTATTAGCTAACCTAATAAGTTTCTAATATTTTACATTTTACTTACTTTTGTAACAATAAAAATATACATAGAAACAAAACATTTAATACTTACATGTAGTAGGCTCTTGCACTCCATCATTGATATATTATCAAAACATAACCATACTTTTTGGCAGTGTTGTTTGCAATATGTAATGTTTAAAAAAAATTCAAATATGAAATGAAAAACAAAAAATATTAACATTCAAAAAATAAAAAAATCTTCCAAAACTATTATAATTTAACTGGCTTTCTAATTAAACTATAAGCGAGTTATAGTAATTCGAAAAACTGGTCCAGGTGATCTCAGCAGTAACAACAATGAAACTGAAGGTCATATAATTCAAAAACTCTTAGAATGAGCTAGCCATATAAGGAATTCAATAAATGTTAGTTATAAATAATCCAACAACAAATGTCAGAAGGAATTACTGACACATATTTTGAAAGTCAAGATGTGAGTAGAGGGCATTGCATAAGGAGTTGAGTTTCTGGTTTATTTCTCTATAAAGCAAGAAGAAAGGATGGTACAAAATTACATTACCTATAGGTGTGTAATTAATCCAAACTCAGTACACAATAAATGGGTAGAAAGAATACCTAAACTAAGAAATTCAGAGCAAAGTAGCAAATTATAAAGAGAAATTAAGATATAGAATTTTATTTAAATATTTCCCCTTGAACTTAAGAAATTAAAAATCATATAATATTAAAATTTGAATTATAAACTATGTTTGATGCCATGTTTATTGACATACATTGATAATAAAGTTGACTTTGACCCCCCACCCATACACATAGGGTTAAATTATAGTAGTTTTAAGACATTCAATTTTTTGTGTGAGATAATATTTTGTTTTAAATTTTTATTTCAAATAAAAATTTATAATATTTTGGACCACCACCAACATTACAAAAAAAAGTAGACTAGCAGTGCTTCACGTATCAACACCAAAAATGACAGTCCACACATAAGTACTAAATTTGTTTTTTATGAATTTTTTATTTGTTATAAAAGAAACAAAAATGCAAAAATTTTAAACTTATTATGTAAAAATAAGAAAACTTAAATAAAAAAAGTAAATAAAAAATTTCTCATTACACTTTATCATAGCTCCTGCACATTGCAAGGTGTGACTGTAATTTGACGTTTTTAACTCGATTGTTTGTTTACACAAAGCTGTCTGGCTGTGATAAATGCAGCTGTAAAGCAATAAAACTAAATAAACTCAGATTTGGAAAATCTATTAACTTTGGCTGTAAGAATAAACAGTGTGTAACTGTCTGTTACAATACGCAGTCATTCTAGAAAGAAAGGATAATTTTGATTTATTTCATATGTTTTCAACTTTTAATTTTATTTTATATTGCTGATTTCACTACAGATAGTGTTATTGTAGAGAAAATAGGAAATAAAATATAGTTTTACCCCAAAAAACTTGTGATTTTCACTTAGGAGGTTCTAGTGGCTATTCATATAAGATATGAAACTGTAAAAAGAAAAGCATTTTTATTCTTAGCATGAAAATCACCTCTCACTAAGACTGACTCAGTAAAGGCTTCATAAATTCACAAAAAAGTCTTTAATAAAAACACTTTATTAATATGTCCCATGAGTAATGGCTTAAACTAAGGATTTTGTAATAATTTGAAATACATATATTTCTAAGACAATTTGAATGATTTACTTCCACAAGATCACTGATCTAAATATATCATCTCTGCCGTAATAATACACACAGCTGTTTTCAAAACACTTAACATTTTCAACAAATGGCAGATACTAGTATAACAGTGATACATAATCTAATGGAAAAAAAGTATATATATATTATATTAACACAAGTTACTTAAAAACCTGTAACACTTCTATTCTTAAGTGGCTGTATCTGTGAGAAATTCCTTAAAAGAAGGAAGACTTACTTTGGCTAGATCATAGAGCTTGACAGCATCTTCATAGAGTCCTTTATTTTCACTGTCCACTGCAACAACTTCAATGATTTTCTGGACATCTCCTTGAAATTTGTCAATGATCCCTGGCTAAAAAACAAAACAATACATACATTTTTTTTTACACTGAATATCAAAACATGTGTCTAGGAAAATATTTACTGAACTTAGTTTCATAATATAAATTTTACAAGAATATTTTGAATATTACCCATCTGCCTACTATTTGCAGTTAAAATTATCCTATATTAACTCTTGTTGTATGTGTACTTGTATGTTTATCTGCAAACTCCTCCTATAGTTTTGGAGTTAGCAAGACCCAACTTGTATTATGGACTTGAGGGGTATGAGAGGGGTGTCCTTATCTATATGGTGTAGCCCCATATCAAGTGGGGCGAAAGCATGCCCATACGGTCATCCAGGCACAATAGGGGTTCAAGGTTAGATTTTCAGGGTCACAAAACCTGAATCTGGCATTAGATTTTGTATTCCTGGTCCCCCTCAATAACCTGGGGGCATTGTGTTTGAAACTCTTCATATCCTATCTCACTGGTTAATGGGACTAAACTTGGCACACATGCTTAGGTAACACAGGCAGGTGTACTAACAGGTATTTTTGGGTAAGGACCTATTTCAAGGTAGCTATAGAAGTAATTGTGGGTAATAAAGAAGTCTGATTAGTACAATAGAGCCTCTGTGAATCATGAAAGAACCTTTGGATCTTGCAGTGGAATATGGGTAATTTATGCTAATTAACCTCAAAACAAAATCTCAGAATCATGAATTCATGTAAAGACAATTATATGCCAAATATTTGACTCTTTGGATGATACTATATGACTTATCTTCAATGTTCCTTTTAAGCTGCGTGGCCTCACAATAACCAATCACTTCATTATTCCAGTCACACACATCCTCAGTTGTCAGCCTTAATGACCCTGGCAGTCAACAGGCCTAAAGCCCAAATAATCAAGTGATAGCACTGCAAAGCGGCCTAATGATTCTAATCCGTACATTGCCTTGATATTGGTGCACATGAAAAAATTCATTCTGCACATGGACTGAAAAAATTAGAGGAAACATTGCTTATCTTAAACTCTGACTCACCAACTCAAGTGTCTGTTATTTCATACAGGCAAGTCAGACTTATTAACATAACTCAACCTTGCAAGCTTACTGAGGTTAAAATCTCTATCCCACAAATTCAATAGCTGAGGTCAAGATCACTATCACAGAACCAGTGGCTAAGGTCATAACATTTACTCTTCAAGCTACAAGCTTTGACTTACTGGCTGATATCAGTTTATTTGGTAATAAAAGCCTTAAACAATGAATGAGACGAAGTTGCAATACAGTTTCTTAACTATTGACTGAGGTCCACATTATTTTATTCCAATTACCCTCACCCTGCTTACCATTTATTGCTCTTTACTTACTGAGAATGATTTATTTTCATTAGCCAATAGTAAAACCAAAGATGTTGTTCAACATCTATTTCATAAGGCCTAATAAATTTTGTCATATAACTAATAAAGATTGCTGTTCCCATAAATTTTGATCTAATTTCTCTCTCATACACATGTATATGCAAGATATTTGAGATACTGTTGTACACATGCATAAACATATTTTAAACAAATTGTGACCGGACAGTTCATCCAATACTGATTTTTTCTGCAAATAAACAATATCAGTTTATTAAAATAAGTACAATTTCGAGAAAATAATGTAAGCATTACCTTTCGACAATTATCTTTTTCCATTTTTCCAAGTAACATTTCAAACTGAAAATAAACAGAAGACATGTGAATAATGTATTTATATTTTATTACTGTCTGCATTATCTTAGCAATACAAATATTGTTCATTACAACTTGTATAATAACAATATC